GTGCTCTGCCCACCACGGGTATCGAAACCCGGATTCTAGCGTTGTAAATCTGCAGACATACCGCTGTGCCACTAGGGGGCACATACATAAGACAAGTCGTAGAATATGTCTGTATAACATAGATAAATGTATCAAAAACACACATCAACAAACCACAGCAAATACAAAACTATATTTTAACGAAAGCATATAGAGTCCCACGATCAACAAACTCAGAATTTCTACACAACTATTTAAACATATCAACACTATCAGACAGACTCCTGGATAACTCGCTTCAATATTATAAGAAAAATATTAATAAAAATGAACTGATGAGCAAACTAGACAGTTACATAATACTTGATGAACCAAGCCCTAAGTACCTCTCCTCTCTAAACATCATAAATAAGAAACTTACAGGACAAACAGTGCTAGGTTAACTGAATCCCAGACACAAACGTGGCTTTATTTTAAAAGGGTTTTGTATGTAACAATAGGATTATATCTGTATGGGCATATATGACTAAGTGGAACTGTATTGGACTAATAGTGCGATCATACATAAGTGGAGCTAGTGAAAATATACAAGTTAATATTACCCCATGAATTGGACAAGGCACGAAAAGGGTATGATAATTAAAACTGCCGACAATGGAGAAAATGTAACATACTGTGAGTAATACAACAAGGGTTATTACCTAAGGTGCAAACAAAATAACAATTCCTGAGAGGGATGAAGAGGTCTACGCTGAACTTGACCCTCCCAAAACATGGACCGAATCCCGATAAAGACGATGATCATAGATACTGTTTCGTATCTGCTCGTTTGTTAATTTCCGGGATAAATTCTTTCCGAGGAACTTCAGCGATACAACTCCTTTCTTAGTTAAAACTAGTTTATCCTTTTTCGATACAACTTTGTAATATACAGAATTTCCCCAGTCACTTTAAACTTAACAACCTTTATAACACACTCTATAAATCACAGTGATTCACACACTTTACTTACGGTGTCTACTGTTCGCTTGACTCAATTATCTATCTCTTCAATCCAATCATCCCGCAGGCTTTATCTGCCAGACTTATATACTAAAAAAGGGGGCGCCTAGAACAAACTAGAGTTGCCAGGAAAATTCATGATCCTTCCAGAAACTCCAACGCGCATGCTCTCAGCATCGTGTGACTTCCGCTGTCGAAACAATACAATTAAATTTGATAACATAAAACTCGGAAAATTTTTGGTGCGTTATAAGAGTAATAGTCAATTCCTTAGTTGGCCTGAAGGTTAAGTTGCTCTACTCGCAAATCTGCGAGTTTGAATCCCGTCATAGAACATTCTCGCTCATTCAGCCGTGGAGGCATTATAATGTGATGATCAATCCCACTATTCGCTGGTAAAAGAGTAGCCCAAGTAGTAGGCGGTGGAGGTATTGACTAGCTGCCTTTACTCTAGTCTATCGCTGCTAAGTTAGAGACAGCTAGTACAGGTAGTCCTCGAGGAACCTTGAGCGAAATTCAAACCAATCCAAGCCTAAACATGAGCCTCGCGGGTTTACAAGACCGAAAGCCCGATACCCTTCGCATGGTGCGTCTACAGGACCAAAAAATAATTACCGAGCCAAGAACATCAATGATGGACGATAGGGTGCTGCCATCTATGAAGTTATTTGACTTTACATCAGTCAAAATAAAAATGCTCGTAAATCTCCAAAGTAGGTTACAGTTACGATTCCGGAACTCTTTTATTGATAGTGATATATATTTAAATTTGATTATTGATTAGTTTCTTCACAAAGTATCTAAAACTATGCAAAATTCAACACAAGAAATTACAATTTTGTAATCAACTAATGGAACAACAAACTTTGTTACGTAATCCTTATTTTTTCTCCCTTTTTCAATTATAAGAAAAATTTGGATTATCTCAACTATTGTCTGATTCTGTATGTAGGTAATTCATTGGCCTATTTTCTATTATTACTTTACAGGGGGTAACCAATCAGATGAACAGCAGCTTCCAGAAGTAAGAGTAGTGTAAGTGGCTGTCTCTGAAGGACACTGGATTGTGAAAGGCAACTTTAGAAAAATGCGGACATCATTTTTTTGTATTAGGACCAAGGAGGGTCAGGTGCTTTGTAGACCTCTTCCTCCATTTCAACAGTTGAACAAGCTCTGTGTAAAAAAAAAAAAAAAAAAAAA